CCCTTATTTGAAGTCATTTCTTTAGTTTTCAACAACTGTATTTCAAGAAACGACATGCCGTTCACTTCAGGTACCCTTTCTATTCTAAGGAAATAATATGTAATTTTCAATTTTATAAAATCAGTGAGGTAGGGTACAAATTGGCTTATCACTTTGGCTTTGGCAAACAAAAGTACCTTTACCTGTAATTCTTATTTTGTCTTACTTATTATTTGTTTACTAGAAGCCCGGTGCACGAAATTCATGCACGGGAGGGAGGGTCGCTCGGCCAGGCCTGCGTCCTCTTGGAATCTGGGATCCCTCGGGGGATCTCGGGCTTAAACTGGCAGTCAGACATCCCTCCCGAAATCTGGGACATTGCATGCACCAGTGACCATACTTTCCATTTTCCCCATCTTATGGGTGGAAAAACTGAAGCAGAGAGAGACAGATATATATATAGAGAGAGAGAAACAGATAGATAGATAGATAGAGAAACATCAATGTGAGAGAAACGATTGGTTGCTTGCTGTATGCGCCCCAACCAGGGATTGAACCTGCAACCTTTTGTGTGTGTGTGTGTGTGTGTGTGTGAGAATCCTCACGCAAGGATATTTTTCCATTGATTTTTAGAGTGGAAGGAAGGGGGAGAGACACAGAGAGAGAGAAACATTGATGTGAAAGACACATCGATTGGTTGCCTTCCACACACTCCCCCCAACCAGGGCTGGGAATTGAGCCTACAACCGAGGTACGTGTCCTTGACTGGACTTGAACTCGGGACCCTTCAGTCCGAGGGACGGTGCTCAAGCAACAGAGCCACACTGGCCAGGGCAGCAGTTCAGTTTTTAAGGTAAACGGCTCTTGTACATGTAGGTGTCTCCTGCTGACAATATTTAGAGAAGAAAATGTGTGTACTGTGTGTTACTGTTTCTGTGCTGATCTAGTCCAGCACTGAGTGACTTTGGGATCTCCCTTTCATTTGTACTGAACACTAGTTCCTGGACGATCAGACCCCTTTGGAAGGGGGAAGAGCAAACAGTGTGGGTGCTACCCCTTGGGAATTTAAGAACTATGACAGAAAGTGAAGCTGCTGGGGATGGGCTCCAAGCGTGGGTGTGGCCTAAGTGCAGACGGTTATCTTCAGATAATATCCTAAACGCGGTTGTGGGCAACTAGGATCACCGCACTGGCGCTGGGGTCTGGCCCTTCAGCCTGTTCCAAACAAGGAAGCATGGCTTGCTCTTCCGAGAAGGCCAAGCCTGACTCGGTTCTTCGCAGGAACATGAGTACGTCCTACACATTCAGCTGGTTCACAGCCAGGGTTCAAATGATATCCCCTAATATATATCGATTTCTCAAAACTATTCATGTTTCTTTTGCTCTGCACTTAGAAGAATATACGATATCACAAAACATATAGAATTTTATGATATAATTTAATTTTACACATGACTTTTTAGAAACAGAAATTATTGGAGATAGTACTAATCGGTTAAATCTCTAAAACATAAAGTTTTTCATATATTTTTAATCCCACTTTATTTTTTTAAGTTTCCCAGTATGCATCATTTCTTAGCTCTTTCAAATAGTTCCATGTAGGTTAGTTTGCTAAAGGAACTGAAATTCTGAACCTGAAATGAAAAGTGGGAAATCGTCCTTGGTTTGTGTAACTAAGATCCTAGCCATAAAAGCGTGGTGTCACACAAATCGAAAAGGGGGAAAACGAGGGTCTAGGTCTGGTTTACAGAAAACATTAAGAGAGGAATAAAATAGATGCAGCGAATGCCATGTGTAGGCCTCATCTGGACTCCAACACACAGCAGAAAGACACCTTCAGGGACGTTTGACTATACACTGGTTATTGGCTAGTATCAAGGAATCGCTGTTTTTGTCAGGTGTATCTGCATGGTGGTTTGTCAGGTGTGATATGCATAATGGTTTGTCAGGTGTGATAGGATGGTGGTTTGTCAGGTGTATATGCATGGGGGTTTGTCAGGTGTATATGCATGGGGGTTTGTCAGGTGTATATGCATGGGGGTTTGTCAGGTGTATATGCATGGGGGTTTGTCAGGTGTATATGCATGGTGGTTTGTCAGGTGTGATATGCATGGTGGTCTGTCAGGTGTGATATGGCATGGTGGTTTATCAGATGTATATGCATGGTGGTTTGTCAGGTGTATATGCATGGTGTTTGTCAGGTGTGATATGGCATGGTGGTTTGTCAGGTGTATATGCATGGTGGTTTGTCAGGTGTATATGCATGGTGGTTTGTCAGGTGTATATGCATGGTGGTTTGTCAGGTGTATATGCATGGTGGTTTGTCAGGTGTATATGCATGGTGGTTTGTCAGGTGTATATGCATGGTGGTTTGTCAGGTGTATATGCATGGTGGTTTGTCAGGTGTATATGCATGGTGGTTTGTCAGGTGTATATGCATGGTGGTTTGTCAGGTGTATATGCATGGTGGTTTGTCAGGTGTGATATGATGGTGGTGTGTCAGGTGTATATGCATAGTGGTTTGTCAGGTGTATATGCATGGTGGTTTGTCAGGTGTGATATGATGGTGGTGTGTCAGGTGTATATGCATAGTGGTTTGTCAGGTGTATATGCATGGTGGTTTGTCAGGTGTGATATGATGGTGGTGTGTCAGGTGTATATGCATAGTGGTTTGTCAGGTGTATATGCATGGTGGTTTGTCAGGTGTATATGCATGGTGGTTTGTCAGGTGTATATGCATGGTGGTTTGTCAGGTGTATATGCATGGTGGTTTGTCAGGTGTATATGCATGGTGGTTTGTCAGGTGTATATGCATGGTGGTTTGTCAGGTGTATATGCATGGTGGTTTGTCAGGTGTGATATGATGGTGGTGTGTCAGGTGTATATGCATAGTGGTTTGTCAGGTGTATATGCATGGTGGTTTGTCAGGTGTGATATGATGGTGGTGTGTCAGGTGTATATGCATAGTGGTTTGTCAGGTGTATATGCATGGTGGTTTGTCAGGTGTGATATGATGGTGGTGTGTCAGGTGTATATGCATAGTGGTTTGTCAGGTGTATATGCATGGTGGTTTGTCAGGTGTGATATGATGGTGGTGTGTCAGGTGTATATGCATGGTGGTTTGTCAGGTGTATATGCATGGTGGTTGCTAAAAGAAAATTCCTTATCAGACAAAGATATATACTACAGTATTTACAGGTGAGATGGCAAGATGTCTGGCTAGGGCTAATTAATTGAAGAAAATAAAGGTGAAGGGATGAAAGAAGAGTGACAACACGCTGACAACTGTTAAACCTGACTTATGGGTACTTGGGGGTTTAATATACTAATTTACTTTTGGGTATGCTTGGTCAAAAAAAAACCCCATAAAGAATGAAAAAAAAAAAAAAAGAAACACAGAGAGAAAAGTCATAAAGGGAAGAAAATAATTCAAAGAAGAATACATAAAGCCTTTTTGGAAGCACAACGTGAAAGCAAAAATGAGAGGACCAATGCTGGAAGCAAAAACATCGCAATGGTAGGGATTTTAATCCCACTTTATTTTTTTAAGTTTCCCAGTATGCATCATTTCTTAGCTCTTTCAAATAGTTCCATGTAGGTTAGTTTGCTAAAGGAACTGAAATTCTGAACCTGAAATGAAAAGTGGGAAATCGTCCTTGGTTTGTGTAACTAAGATCCTAGCCATAAAAGCGTGGTGTCACACAAATCGGAAAGGGGGAAAACGAGGGTCTAGGTCTGGTTTACAGAAAACATTAAGAGAGGAATAAAATAGATGCAGCGGATGCCATGTGTAGGCCTCATCTGGACTCCAACACACAGCAGAAAGACACCTTCAGGGATGTTTGACTATAAACTGGTTATTGACTAATATCAAGGAATTGCTGTTTTTGTCAGGTGTATATGCATGGTGGTTTGTCAGGTGTATATGCATGGTGGTTTGTCAGGTGTATATGCATGTTGGTTTGTCAGATGTGATATGCATGGTGGTTATGCTAAAAGAAAATTCCTTATCAGACAGAGATAGATACTACAGTATTTACAGGAAAGATGGCAAGATGTCTGGCTAGGGCTAATAATTGAAGAAAATAAAGGTGAAGGGATGAAACATGAGTGACAACACGCTGATAACTGTTAAACCTGAGTGATGGGTACTTGGGGGTTTAATATACTAATTTATTGTTGGGTATGCTTGGTCAAAAAAAAAAAAAGAGAGAGGAAAAAAATAAAGAAAAGAAACAGAGAGAAAAGCCATAAAGGGAAGAAAATAATTCAAGGAAGAATACATAAAGCCTTTTTGGAAGCACAACGTGAAAGCAAAAATGAGAGGACCGATGTTGGAAGCAAAAACATCGCATATGAGGATGGTAGGGAAAATGCTGCGATTAGCAAACGTCGAAGATGAAGAGGCCGCAAGGAGACCGCTGAAGGAACCCCATCATCCCAAACATCAACAGAGTTTGATGCAAACTTTGAAGATGAGGAAAGGTAACACGTTTGGGGGATAAAAATAATTGGTGCCATGATATGGAATTTACTACCTTTTAATGTTGAAGAAAACCATTAGGTATGCCAGCCACTGAGTCCTGGCCACACATGCCCAGTGGTGTCAGACCTACAGTCCTGGTGAATGGGGCAATGCGTGGAGTCAACAAGGCGAGGCTGAGCAGTTAGGGAGAACTGACCTCAGACTAGAGCTGTTGATGATCTGGCGCAGGCTTATATGAAGAAGTGATGTAAAAACATGATTTTTAAATAGACCTGACTTATCCTTCTATGGCACATGATATTTTATTTTTTCCATCACCATTAACCCCCGCCCCCCTTGCAAACACTACACTGTTGTCCATGAGCGCTCTCTCTTTTTTTTTCTCAATCCCTTCACCCCCCACCCTCCCATCAGAGCTGTATGCCTGCTCTCTATCTATGAGTCTGTCTCTATTTTGCTTGGTAGTTCAGCTTGTTCTTAAAGCATTCTAAATGAATTTTGACTTTATCAAAGCGATATTTCTGTTTTAACATACCTTTGATCTGTAGCCTGCTGTTCTCGAAGCTGAAGAAGAGATAACTCAATTTCCTTTTCTTTTCTCCGCAACTGAGTTTTCAGGATCTCCGTCAACTGCTCTAACTCTTCTATCTGGCCTCTCTGTGACTGAATAACATCTTCTCTGAAATAAAGAGCCTTTGCGTGAATGTGCAGTTTGAGGAAATATCCGCAGTATTTAAGATCAGTACAAAGACAGTTAGTTCTTCCTAACAAAAGCAAGCAAAAGTTTGAAATGTTAGCTTAAGGGCCTCTGAACCCTAGGAAAATAGGGGCAGTTTATGGGTGATGATCTGGAGGTACACGGGGAGCATTTCAAGACATCCTTTATATAACGCCCTAGGCCAGCCGTGGGCAAACTACGGCCTTCGGGCCGGATCCGGCCCATTTGAAATGAATAAAACTAAAAAAAAAAAAAGACCGTACCCTTTTATGTAATGATGTTTACTTTGAATTTATATTAATTCATACAAACACTCCATCCATGCTTTTGTTCCGGCCCTCCAGTCCAGTTTAAGAACCCATTGTGGCCCTCGAGTCAAAAAGTTTGCCCACCCCTGCTAGGCAATGGATTGGTGGTTTGAATCTACTTTGTTAAGTATTTATTGTTCACCTATTAGGTAGTCCACAGTCTATTCATCTTCAGCTAATTTCTATGCCTTTGTTCTTTCACATGTAGATTTCCCTTTATCACCTAAATTAACACTTCAGAGAGAGATGGCAAAAATGTACAAAACGTAATTAAGTGGTCCCTAGCATAGGTTGATCTCTATGGCATCTGGCAGCATCCCAGTGTAATGACCTCAGGAAACTGCTGTGAACCTGGCTCTTTGGCTAACAGGTTAACAAGATTAGGCCTAGTCTTTTAGTTTCTATTCTCTCACAATATAATCATCACCGTCTCTGGTATTTGGAATATTCAGAAGAAAAAATCGTAAGCCCATATGATTCTTAAGCAACTATCTGAAAGTATGGTCCCCTGCCTCATTCAGAACCGGTACTTCCTGATGATCCAGGTGAGGGGTGTGATGAGGTGGAGCCTCATCTTCATTTGTGTGACGCACAGACACCAAAACCATGAGGCTTTGATTAACTGGAAAGTAAGCTCAACATGGCAGGGGTAACTTTCTTGAAACCATAGTATGATGAAGAATGCAGGACCGTAGAATCGTAGTGAAACAAAATCTGAAATCCATATGTATTTGATAACTTCAAACTTTTAAGCCACGCCCTCCAATTTTTTTTTTAAACCACAAAAAGGCTAATTAATTCAGGATTTTAAAAAATTGCCTGGGATTTTTCTAAGAATGAAAATGCTGCCCCTAAATGAATGGACTTTATGCCATTCCTTTGGGGGGGGGGGAATTACAATAAAGCGGACTATTCTACGAACACTTCTATCGCGTAGGTGTTCATTTTCCTCATTTCAATGGGAACATGTTTAATAATATACTCTTATCCCACAGATCTAGCTGCAATTTGGTGGAGCAAATTATTTGTACATAAACCAATTTTATTTAAAATAAGGGAAAGAGAGGGATTAGAAAAACACCCCAAAGAATGATCAATAAACAAAGTTCTAAAATGACCACAAAAAGAATACATACAAATTTCTTATTTCTCCTCTGGCTTCTTCAAGTAAATTGTTGCCATATTTTGTCAGCATGGGTTGATCTACATCTACATCTTGGAATCTAATACCTAAAAATAAATTAATAAGATTATAGATGTTAGAAAAGAGGACCCTGGCTTTGATTTCATGATGAAATGTGTGATGTAACAGAATTGCTTCAGTACTGAGAGATATGTGCTCTGCAGAACAGAGAATCAGAAGTACGTTGCCAAAGGGACTATTAGCTCTGAGCCACCAGTTGGCATTGAATCAAACACAGCAGCAAGTATAGCCCATTAAACAAATTCTACTAAGAAAAACAAATGACCTAGAAATAACTTGATTCGACCTAGATTTAAAACTCCTGAAATAATTTCTGAAAGACCCAAAGTCTTCAATTCAGGTCTTTGCAATTAAACTGAAGTATGAAAGCAAAGGTTTCAAAAACATATTTTTGATTTAGTACATTTGATAAATGTTTCCTGTACTTTGGTTTATTCCACCTCAATGATAAAGTCCATTTATAAACAACGGTAATTGGAGGGGAGATAATCAATAGGATTCCTCTAAATAAAACATTTTGCTGATGCACTTAAAATACAATTGCACAATAGTTATATGCAATTTTATAAGCCTGTTAAAAGTGAAACATACTTTTAATTACATGAATTAGTTTACACTTAGAGAATAATTAAATTATTAGAGTTTAAGGTAATAAAATATGACACAGAATTAAATTATTAGAGTTTAAGGTGGATAAAATATGACATGGAATTAAATTATAAGAGTTTAAGGTAGATAAATTATGACAATTTAGCTTTTAATGGCGCATAGTCCCAGGTACAATGGTACAGAAAAAATTCTGTCTCTTTAGAAATGTTTACTTTTAAAAATGAGAATTTTAATTAGAAAAAATGGCACTATTATTTGCTATTTCCAAAATTTTCACCACCTTTTGCTGTAGTCTAGACTAAAAAACAGAAAAGGCTCTGCCTAAAACATTAAAACAGTTTACTGTGTTAAAATTCGCCAAATATATTATTTTGGCAGTAATGCTAATTCTTAAGCATTTCCTAAATCAATCATGGAAAAACTAAACATCACTACTAGAATTAAAAAAAACACACAATTTAGCCCATTTGGTGTGGCTCAGTGGTTGAGCATTGGTCTATGAACCAGGAGATCACACACCGTTCGATTCCCGGTCAGGGCACATGCCAGGGTTTGGGGCTTGATCCTCAGTAGGGGACGTGCAGGAGGCAGCCGATCTATGATTCGCTCTCATCATTGATGTTTCTACCTCTCTGTCCCTCTCTCTTCCTCTCTCTGAAATCAATTAAAAAAAACCCAACATATTTAAAAACAAAACAAACAAAAAAGCCTATTTATACTCAAACTATTTCTTAAAACTATGATTTCATGGTGAGTTGCCAATGGTTATCTTTTAAAACACATACACTTCATAAAAATCTTTGTTCTTCACAATACGAATTGTTTCTACATCACAGTGATCACACTTGAAGCGGTATTTTTATCCTTTATCCTGACCTGGCATAAATAGAAAATAATATTTGTACAGCAGCTTGGGGGTGAGGCCCGTGGGGCCAGAGAGGGCCTGGGGTTCTCACCCCGCCACCCCGGGCTGCACTGTTTCTGACAAGTCTGGCCTGATCCCAGACTCAAAGGTGGTCTTGAAGAGTCTGATAAGGTTACTACGGTATCCATCTCGATAATGATGCTTCACGTATACTCAGGAAGGCAGTGGTTAAGAAAGTATTCATCACTATGTAATGCTCTGTGCAGCTTCTATGTCTTGGATTCTATAACAAACAGTGAAAAAGATCTGAATTACTGAGTATAAACACAAGGGGAAATTCAAGCGATGTAGTCATATTTCCACAAGACTGCTGCTCTGTGGCTTTTTTTCCTATAGGGAGAAACTCCCACCAAATTCTTCTATGTAAACAGCCCTTCAGAGCACTAGATGAGCTTGCGGAGTTAATCTAAACTTTGGGCGTCGTGTTAGTTGGAAAGACCTTGCCGACCTCAGAGATCAGCTTGCCCAGCTATTGGTCACAGGTTCAGAGAGGATAAGTGACTTTTTAAAAAAAAAAAATTTTTTTTTATTGATCTCAGAGAGGCAGGAAGAGGGAGAGAGAAACAGTGATGATGAGAATCATTGATCGGCTGCCCCCTGACCAGGAACTGAACCGTGACCTCCTGGTTCACAGGCCAATGCTCACCCACTGAGCCACACCGGCCAGGGGAGGATAAGTGACTTTTCAAAGGTGAAATCTATTATTGTAGGGACTTATTTTTTTATGTCCCTACCACCTCCTGGCCCTACTTCTAACCAGGTGTTATCGCCCCATTTTACAGATGGGGACGATGAGGCCCCGAGGGGTCAAGTGCGCTCTCCCACGTAGGAAGCGAAGGAGGGGCAGAGTGTGTTTCTGGTCTGATTCATCATGGCCACTTGGTTGTACTGAGTTTACTGCCAATCCCACAGAGCAAGGGGCAGGCTTGCTCTTTCATCCTGCAGCTGCCTCCTGCCTGAGAGGAGCCTTCCCCACTTCAAAGGCACCGTCTAGGGAACAGAGTGTTAACATTTCGGCTGGAAGAAAAAATAGAACAAATTTTTCGCCCATTCTGTTCACATGGTGTTTTTTTCTTTCCCAATGAATTGAAATGCAAGTTTCACATCATTTTCTATGTCCCTAAAACTGTTTGGTCTTTCTGTGAAGTGTCTTCCAAATGAAGATCAATTAGAGCTAACTTTTTATTTCCTTTCCCAGGAGCTAGAAATTAAAAATGTGTCACTGAAAACAGTTACTGACTTTTTGCTTCATCATAAATACATTTGTCTGTGGGTGGAGAGAATTGGGATTTTATGAGAAATGTTTAGTTTGTTTTCTATCACGAGTCTTGTCTATGCAATTGAATTGCTCTGTAACCTGGGTAGGGTTTAGGTGGTTTATTTTCAAAATTAAAAAAGTGATTGTCCTATGATCTTTTTTGGAGATGGAAGAGACCCTTATGGGTCACTTGCTTATATCCTTTTATTTTACAGGTAAAGACAACTCAAGTTCAGGATAACCAGAGGACTCGTCCAAAGCCACCAGATACAAAGTGGAGGAGCAAGAACCCAACTTTCAAAACTCCCAGGTACGTGCACGTGCCCCTGCCATGCTACCTCCACACCACGAGGAAGCTTTACACAACCCTGCAAATGTCATAAAAGGTCTTTCGATAAAGAACGTAACTGTGATCAGATATAGGCAAACTAGCTGGTTTTCCCATTTGCGTGTGTCAATGTGATATGCTCCTGTCATTTAAAAAAACACGAAAACTAAACTGAACTCATATTTCATGTAGTTTCACACATGTGTCGCACCAGTTAGAATGAATAGTTATGTTCCATGTTTACTAAACAAATTTGAGTGTGATCTAGGGATTCTTAAATAAAATAATCTTCATATTAATATGGATTTTTTAAAAATCAAAAACAGGTCCAAAAATGATCTTTATCTTCCTAAAGAAACTTAGGAACACGAATAATACAGAAATACGACTGTGTGTGTGCCAAATGACCTACTGAAAGCTGTCAGCTGAGGATGTGTGGAAGCTGTTTTACCTTTCCTGGGGCAGTCCTGCGCGCCTGCGCTTTCGCTGGCTTTCCTACGCCCCGTGTTTACGCGGGACTGCACGTTGCTGTAAGGGGCTTGCCTGCCACCCTGGACCTGAAGTTGCTGTTTGGCTGAAATGAGTCTGTTTTTGAGGGCTTCGTTCTGTCTCTCCAGCTCGTGAACTTTCTCCTGCAGCTGCTCGATCATTTCTTCCAGCTCCACATCTCGTCCCAGCCGCTTGGGGCCGCCACCAACCCGCTCATATCTTTTCTTGTCATTAACTAGCCGTATTAACTTGGTGGCCATTCTAGGGAAATAATAAAAAGATGAAAAGGAATGTGAGAAGTCAGCATAAAATGCATTCTGTTGAAAGGAACATAATCACTGTGAAGACTTCAGTGCAGAACCTGAATAATAAATTTCAGGTTTTGATGTAACTATTACTGCCTGTGAAGAACCCTTTGATGATAATTGAAACCACTGGGCAACAATCTGCTTTATAGCACTGACAAATAACAGTTTCCTAAGGCTTATCATTTAAGGTTAGTAAAGAGAGGACACATATTTACTCCATATGTTCCTCAAATGCAATTTTTAACGCATGACCTTATGTAGGAATGCTGTATGCACTTAACTGTAGCTACAGATTGTGGATGTGGTGGGTTATATCTGCAAGCCACAGTAAGTTAAAACTTTTGGAAACTGTGTTAAGACTATGCAGCATTTATGTGATATACTGTTTTCAGTTTCTCTAGGATTAAGACGTACTACAAATACAAAAGTGTTAGAACGCAGAGATACACACATATAAAAGCACCATGAAAAATTCAAAAGAAAGAAAAATGTGCCATTAAACGTTACTTAGCGCCCAAGAGACATGCATGGTTAATGGTAGAAAATAATTAGGTACAAGGAGTATTATTTTAATGCTACCTTTGGGTTTAGGCATAAATTGTGCTTTTGACATCTCAGGAGAAGTTTATACCTTGGATTCTTTTAAGTTTTGATAAAAACTGGTTAGACAGAACAAAAGACAGAAAGGGCACATGGGGGTGATGTAATATACACGCCGAGAAAACATGCCTGACAGTGAATGGAAAAATCTTGGCAGGACAAGAAAGAAAAGGTGGCTTTGATGAGAGACACAAGTTCAAGACTTTACAAAATTGGTCGCACATCTTCAATAGCTGACTCTAGTTTATAGTGAATCTATTTTTATAAAGACCCAGACAGGAGATTGAAAATAAAAACTCACTTCATTTTTCTTTACATGGGGTTTGCTTTATTTTAGCATGGTTATGGACAGAAGCTTTTACTTAAGAGAACAAAAGTGAAATAAAAAAAAATCCTTAATAGCTTTGGGATGTCCTAGAACAACCTCTTTTTGCCCTGAGCGGAGTCCTCCGTAGCAGCGGTGGTAATACCCGTCTATCTACACTTGGGCTTCTCGGCCTACAGCATGCGGCTCGGGGAGAGCTATGCATAACATAATCAGTGAAGATTGTTTTCTCTTTCCCTCGAGGCACATCCATTAAACATGCTTTATAAGGGATCCAGGATAATAAAAACCAAGATCCAAGAGCACCACAAACCCCCAGTGAAATCATCAATGGATTAGTTCCTTTCCACCGAGTCCAGAGGATGACAGATCCTCGGGAAATCGGGGCCGGTATCCTAGCCAGACAGAGCCACGAACCTTCCCAGCCCTTGAAGAAGTTCGGGTCCGGAGCCCCACCCAACGCTTAGCCCTGGAAATGTGGCAGCCACCTCCACGAGGTGCCAACTAGACAGCCGCGTTTCCTGTTACAGAGACCGAGAGAGAGACTCCATTCAAAAGAGAGGCAGGTTTAAGCCGAAAAAGCCGTCAACATCTACAGGAAAGTAAGTGACCACACTCACTTTTTAAGGCACGAGCACATGGACAGAGGGGCTTCAAGCTCTTTCAGTCCTTTCTCCAGTAACAGCAGTCATTTCCATTGGTTTGCTTATTTGATGTTAATGAACCATAAGCAATCAGGTAAAGTCTGAGAACTCATGTGGAAAGGTGGTTTATCAAATCTACAGTTATCCTAGAGTGACACTGATTTATATCGTAAGGATACATTTAAAGGCAGTTTTGCCTAGGTATCTAGGTAGTGTCAGGGGTGTGACACTGAGGAGGAATGTAGAGCTTTGGGTCACAGCGGTCAATAGATCATTACTCTCGGGTCTGAGTGAAAGAAAATCCCAGGAGGTTAATGGCTTGAACATACCATACGCTAGTGGCAGGGAGATAAATAGAACACATGCGTACAACTTGACTCCCAGCCCAGTCCTTCTTCCATTAAACTACATGGCTCATTATTAAGTTGTTTTATATTTTCTGGCTAGGACAAATTACTAATGAGGTCAAGGTTGTGAATTCAATTCTTTTACTGACCAATTACGCTTAGAAAGAAAAAGAATTGTTTAGTGGTGAGAGACCACATTCCTCATTCTGACAGGCGGACATGTGTGTGTTACTGGCCAGAAAAGGAATCAGGCAAGTGGGTCACATGTCCTGAAAACAGACATCATCACGACTCAGAGTCAAAGCCCGGCACACAGCAGCCCGGGGGCATCACAGCGAAGCCCACGGGGTAGGAACCGAGCTAGAGTCACCTCTTGAGAGTAAATTCTAAACAGAAAGAAACCCATCTTCTTTCCTGGCTGTCCTACCTTTTCATTTAACCTAGAACGTGAGTATGAACACAGACCTGTCTAAAGAAACCCATCTTCTTTCCTGGCTGTCCTACCTTTTAACCTAGAACGTGAGTATGAACACAGACCTGTCCCTGCTTCTAGAAGTGAAAGCACTTTTTGTTTCGAAAGCCACCCATTCAGAAGAGAGTCATCGTGTTTCCGAACAAGAGAGAATGAAGGAATATCGCCTCTTACGAAATCATCCGTGCAGAAATTTTTGCATGCAAATCGGAAGTGACACTCTTTCTTCAGAAACGGCTGAGACTCTCTGATCAATACAGACTCTAGACCAGCGGTTCTCAACCTGGGGGTCGCGACCCCTTTGGGAGTCGAACGACCCTTTCACAGGGGTCGCCTAAGACCACCGGAAAACACATATATAATTACATATTGTTTTTGTGACGAATCACTATGCTTTCATTATGTTCAATTTGTAACAATGACATTGGGGGTCACCACAACATGAGGAACTGTATTAAAGGGTCGCGGCATTAGGAAGGTTGAGAACCACTGCTCTAGACTAACTCAAGCGAAGTTAAATGTGTTCCAGATACTGAAGTGATGTTTTCATTAGTAAACCCGAAAGTTTAAGGACACATGCATTTTAACAAGTTAAAATAGCTAATTACTTTTTAAAACTTTCATTTTAAAATCAAGACGTTTAAAAAAACAGATGCTTTGGCCATTTGCTTATTAAACTATAAATATGAAACCCGAAGTTATTTATAGATATGATACACGCATGGCACACTTAGCTAGGAGCTCTCCCTTTCAAACAGCAACTTCGGGCATAATAAACACTTATAATCCTCTTGGTTTATTCTTATAGTTTTTAAGAGTTTCCATTTTTGAAAAATTGTATTTATTTACAACCTGCCTGGCTACAAAAAGGATTCAAGGTGGAGTTTTCAATTAAGTTTATAAAAAAGCAAATCCTCCAAAACTTTACAGTCAGGAAAAAAAAGCTCAAAGCTTTTTATCATAACCTTTTAATTTTATCCTCTTGCTTGCGGGCATGCTGTTTAAGTAACATGTTCTCATCGTGCAAACGCAAAAATCTGTCTTCCAGTTCCTCACGACTGATCCGTGACACGATGACCTGGTGAGACTTCATCGTCCGTGTTGCTGAAGTTTCTGCAAAAATGCCAAGATCATTCATAGTGGGATCACTTAAACTAGTCTCTAAGCATGGTAACTGTTGACATTAATATGAGATCAGATGCACTCATCTCAGATTTTTCCCTTTGTGACCCAATTAAGACTGCTTTTGAAAATATTATAGCATTGTTCACATCACTGATCGGAGGTCAGAATAAAAGCCTTTGCTATTAATACTTTATATGCAATATTAAAGGATAGGAACAATAATAATATCCACTCAAAAAAGGATTCTAATAACCATTCTTTAAGATGTAAGCTGGAACTCTGATTCAATAAAGGATTTTCGACTTATATACTGAATGTTGAAAAAACTAAACTAGACATTTTTTGTTGGTTTTTTTACAAAGAGTTTTTACAATAATCTGGTGAACATAACATGATCAAGATATTTTTCTGAGCCACGGGTGCTGGGTTATAGAAAATAAACTATATAAAATTTGAAAGACCAAAAAAGAAACCCTTCACAAATTATTTATAATCTATCTTAAATATTTTTAAAGAACTTTTATACCTTTCAGCATGTGTATATGATATTTTTTACATATGCTTAAGTTTGGTACTTTCCATATCACTGTGAAGTCGGTCGATTTTCAGCAATCCTCCAAAAGAAACAAAGAACAAATGGACAAAGATTAAAGCCCTCTGGTGGAAAACTGAGGGCAGGAATTGAATTAGGGCATCAAATCCCAATACAGAGCTTTGCACACTTAAAATTTATTTGCATTTGAATCGCTGGCACTCTGCCAAAAATCTAAAGCAAAGCTTATACATGTTTTACTTTTAACAATAAAAACCGTATAATCCAATTTATCTTTTTCAATGAACAATGTGTTGACCACCTTTCGGTGGTAGTTCAAGGTGACCACTGGCACTCTTCTGATGAACAGGTGTGTGAACATGCCTTCATGGGATATATTTGATGTCACAGTCTCTCAGTGACCAATGCAGTGGTATGACTGTGTGGCTGACACACCGTCCGCACAAAGAAAAACACAGCTCAACATTCCTTAAAGCTATGCTTTCACTTCTTATTTTGAAAGTGCTTTTTAGCTCTACCGCAACCACTAAGATATAAAAGGATAAAGAAAACGTTCAATGTATATTAATTTGATAAATTAAAGTCAATATCACGTGGGTAAACAAACCATTTTGAGATACTCTACTTGAAAGACAAAACATTTTTAAATATGGCATTTCCTCCCATATAAAATGTAAATGTAAAGAAACGTTTTAATGGCGAATGTGATTGAAGCCAGGCAATTCAGGTTGGAGGCTTGATACTCTCTGTAGTTTCTACTGATGTGTGGAATTTTAAAAAGATGATTTATAACAATTCTTTATCAGAACAGAGGGGGATTTTACATTTTCTATGAGCTGTTGATAATTGATGCATGCAGTAAAATACCATATGTTGTTCTAAACACTCCATCCTCTCGTTTAGTCCAATCAAGAGCTATACAGTTACTTAAATGGCTTGGTTTGTATAAATATCAAAAATACTTTAAATTAAAAGTAAAGAAGTTACTGATCAAAGTTCATAACTGTAATAAATAACAGCTGGCCGTACCTTGTAACCCTCCCACTCCAAAGAGGTTCAGACCTATATCTTTCACAGGCAGGTCTCCTGAAGTCTCATCAGTTGGACCAGACATGGCCTATCTGTGGAGAAAAAGAAAATTCAAATAAAATCTTTCCAAGTTATAACATGAACTAGGCAATGGAATGAACCAAATAAAATGAATAAGGCACTAGAACTTTAATGGACATCTTATTGCCCACATGTGCAGCTTGAAGAAGATGAAAGCTCCCATTTTAAAAGTAATACTACATTGAATCATGGCGACAGTGTTCCTTTCAACAGGATATTTCCTGTAGTTTGCTTAGGAAATGAGGTCAGATTATCATTCTTCCTTCTCCCATCTTCTTATTCCTCTATCTGAAACAAAAACAAACTCTCCTAAATTTAGAAACACCTCCTCCCCACCCCTCTTCCCCCTTCCCTGTCCCCCAAAGAAAGCAGATATCTTGGAAAAAACGCAAGTCAGGAACTTGATTCAAATGGTTGTGCTATTACTTGGTAGCTGGTCAAGACACCTAACCTTGCTGAGTTTCAGCTCCTTAATTTAAAAATGGGAAGAAAATAATACCCATCTCACAGAGTTATGCTGAGGGCGAGATGGTAAATTAAAAGCATTTACCACATTTGCCTGGGATGACAATATTACCTGAATGTTAATTTTCAGCTTGATGTGCAAATGCATGGGTAGTTCCAAGTTTTGCAAAAGAGGTTTCGTAAATTCACCAGCTGGGTTGGTTTTTGTTGTGTCCTGTTTTTGTTGCTATGAGGCCCAGGTCCCAGGGCTTCCTCCTTCAGCATACAGGCTGTCCAGCCAATTCTGGCTTTTTTAGTTTCTATTCTTTACAGAGATGCACGCATGGCTGAGTTTTGTATGTGGATGTGAGTGATCCAATTCACATACCATGTATAGTATGCTTATATTTTCACTTCAATCTACCCTGAAAGCCAAATGTGAATTGTCAATGGAGATCCCCTAAGGCAGAGGTTCCCAATCTCTAAAATGTTGGTCCTAGAATGTCAAGTCCAAGCAAATTGCAAGCTTTTTGGTCTTGCTCGCCTCCGTCTTCTCAGAGGCTGGCCCAGAGTTGGCACACAGCAGACATTCGCTAAATCGTTGTAATGAACGGTGTTGGTGGAGCGTCAGGGTGTGTGGACCCAGACGTGGTTGACAAAATCTCCTACGCTTACGTGTATATGCAGTATCTTTTAGCGGGAGGGTTCCTAACTTTTGTAATAACCGATCAAAGGCTGAGAACCTCTGCATTTTGCTGTGACACAAACGGCTAACGGACGTTTGCCTGGGTGGGTATCTAGCTCTTTTGCAGACAGCGCTACAGAAAAGGTCAACGTTAGGAACCAGATTACCCAGAAGTTTAAACCCAGGACATTTGTAAAAAGGGTACCTTTTCCATGAGAGAGTTATGGCGGCTTTTATAATAATAAGGCTGATGATGGTGTTAGCATTTATTGAGTGCTCCCTGAGCTGTGCGAGGCACTCTTCAAAGTGCTCTGCTTATATGACTTAAAGATCTCACACTGTCCTTGTGAGGTTGTTACGCGAATGATTCCTACTCTGCAAAGGAAGACACGGGGATGCGGCTTAGGTAACTTGCCCACATGGCACACATCTAAGAAGTAACTGTCTAGCCCAGTGGTTCTCAACCTTCCTAATGCCGCGACCCTTTAATACAGTTCCTCATGTTGTGGTGACCCCTAATTTCACTGTTACAAATTGAACATAATTAAAGCCTGGCCCAGAGTTGGCACACAGCAGACATTCGCTAAATCGTTGTAATGAACGGTGTTGGTGGAGCGTCAGGGTGTGTGGACCCAGACGTGGTTGACAAAATCTCCTACGCTTACGTGTATATGCAGTATCTTTTAGCGGGAGGGTTCCTAACTTTTGTAATAACCGATCAAAGGCTGAGAACCTCTGCATTTTGCTGTGACACAAACGGCTAACGGACGTTTGCCTGGGTGGGTATCTAGCTCTTTTGCAGACAGCGCTACAGAAAAGGTCAACGTTAGGAACCAGATTACCCAGAAGTTTAAACCCAGGACATTTGTAAAAAGGGTACCTTTTCCATGAGAGAGTTATGGCGGCTTTTATAATAATAAGGCTGATGATGGTGTTAGCATTTATTGAGTGCTCCCTGAGCTGTGTGAGGCACTCTTCGAAGTGCTCTGCTTATATGACTTAAAGATCTCACACTATCCTTGTGAGGTTGTTACTCGAATGATTCCTACTCTGCAAAGGAAGACATGGGGATATGGCTTAGGTAATTTGCCCACATGGCACACATCTAAGAAGTAACTGTCCAGCCCAGTGGTTCTCAACCTTCCTAATGCCCCGACCCTTTAATGCAGTTCCTCATGTTGTGGTGACCCCTAATTTCACTGTTACAAATTGAACATAATTAAAGCATAGTGATTAATCACAAAAACAATATGTAATTATATATTTGTTTTCGATGGTCTTAGGCGACCCCTGTGAAAGGGTCGTTCGACCCCCAAAGGGGTCGCGACCCACAGGTTGAGAACCGCTGGTCTAGCCACTTTTTTGATTGTCACCAGTGGGAAGAGGGAGTGACCTCTTACTGGCATCTAGAGGTCAGAGATGATGCTAAACATCCCGCAGTGCACAGGAATCACAAGTATCTGCCTCCCATGCTATGGAGATTGTGATGCTGCGTGCAGTGCTGCCAGGCCTCTCCACCACCCTCTCATGCTCCCTCCATGCTCACTATGCTCCTCTCAGCCTGTTGTCCTTTAGATTCCCCAAATCCAGGTACCCTGGCCTTGCTCAAGGCCTTCGCTGACTCTTTGTCCTCTGGGGCTCAGCTCCAATGCCACTTCCCCGATCATCATCCTGTGTTAGATGCCTCTTCCTCCCAATTTAGTCACTGTTTATTGCTGTTCCAGCAGTCATCTCTGTCTGAAATTATTTTATTTGTTTTACTGGTTCATTTCTAGTTCGTCTTCCCTAATAAAGTACCAACGAGCATCTTGAGGCAGGTATCTGTCTAGTTCACACTTGGTGGGGTACAGTGCCTGGCACCGAGTGGACACCACCGCGAATATTTCTTGAATGAATAAAGCACTGAGACTAAAATGCTAAGCAAAGTCCCCGCCTTTATGCAGGTAACAGGCTATGGGATAACAAGGCGATAAACAGACCAGTACAAATAATTAAACAATAGGCCACTCGGGAGGCTTACGGGTGCACTAAGCAGCTCCACACCCAGGTCAAATAAGCGAACTGTGTTTAGGATGTGAGCGATCCTAAAGGCGTGGATAAGCCCAGCAATTCGCATCAACTGCCCTCAGCGAGGGTTTAGGTCTGGGCTGCACATTTTCAAACCGGGGCTGGGCGTGGGGGCCATGGGCGGGGTGTGGCTCAGGCCTTGACGATGTGGGGGTTTCTCGTGCTAGGCTCTTTTTCACGCGAGCAGAACCCCGGGACCTTCTCCAGGCCGTGGAGCGACCCCAGGACCCCGGCCCGCGCTGCAGGTAGGGAGTCGGCCACCTCTATCGCCCTCTCCTCCCCGAGAGTACTCACCGCCACTCTCTCCCCGCGGCTAGCTAACCGTTGCTATAGCGCCGCCGGCCGAGAGGAGCATGGGAAAAACATGGCAGGCCCCATTGCCTCCTGGGAAATGTAGTTTTCCTGGAGCTCCTTCCCCGCCAGTTCTCAGGGCTTCGAACTACGCTAGCCCAGCTGTGGGACCTGGGAAATTCTAGTGCTCTAGATCCCAAGGCGCTCGCGGGTGCCGCCGCGGTGCAGCCTGGGAGTGGTAGTTCTCGCGGCTCTAGGGTAGCGTGGTAGCGGACGGGAGCAGGACGCCGAGAGAACTACACGCTGGAGGCGGGGTCCAGAGAGAGGGAATGTACAATCCTGGCGGTGGCGGAGAAGGTTGTAGCGGCAGCATGAAGCGAACCCCGTCTCCCGAGGAACGAGAACGCGAAGCTAAGGTATGTGGGGCCCTCCGGAGGCTGGGGTCTTTCGTGCACTTGGAGCGAGGGGCAGGGAACCGGAGGGACTCGGCTGGAGGGCGAGCAGACGCGCGGTCTGAAGCCAAGCATGAAAGGGCCTTGTCAGCAAGGAAACCAGAGCCCTTGTGGGTTATACATTCGTGCAGGCCTGGTCCTATTGGATCCGCTCACAATTGGAAGACATCCATTTGCTTGTTCTGCACCTACCTCCTTGGGTGAATCTGTAGCTACTCTTGTGCCTCAGTTTACCGGACTCCCAGATGACTGTGATGGTACCCGCTGTGCCTTTCTCTTTGGTAATAATTTCGGAGGAGTGAGGTCAGATATGTTTTTTGGAACAGTTGTCTTCAGTGGACCACGGATACGTTCTGTTTTCAGCACAGCAGATAGGAACATTTAACTACAATCCCGTTACCTACGGTTGGAGTTCAGCCTCTAGTAGTTGCCGTTCCATGGGATGAAAATAATAATTGCAATAGCAATTTTTAAAAATAGCATTTATCACATGTCAGGCTTGCATTGAGTTCACACTGTTTATATTATTTCATATTCTCACCGCAGCGGATTGCAAGATAGATATGTATACAGATGGAGTATCAACAATCCTGTTTTACAGATGAAGACTTGAGTTCCAGAAGAATTGAGTGTTTTCCTTTCTCTCATCCCCCAAATCAAGTCCTGTTTGTTTGTCTAAATATATTGGTAATCTGTCCACATTTTTCCAGTTCCACCTTGGCCTATGCTATTACCATCTCTAATGGACTGGTACAGTAGTTTCCTTATTGGTATGCACTCACTCTATACCAGTGGTTCTCAACCTTGGCTGCACATTAGAATCACCTGGGAATCTTTTTAAAATCCTGATTTCTGGGCCTCATCCTTCGGAAATTCTGTTTCTTTTTTACTAATGTTGTGGCCTCACCCCATAACAAAAAATTAGCATTGGTTATGCTTATATGCATGCATACAAGTCCTTCGGTTGATCTCTTAACCGCCCCCCGCCCCAACGCTCCCCATTTTTATTTAAGTTTTCAGGTACCTGTACTAATTGATTAACATATTAGAAGTAAGGGGGTCCC